TAAACAGGGATGAAGTAAGTTTTCTACTAAAAGTTGGAAATTTGCATATTTTATTTCATTTTGTACCTCTATTCCTCGCACACATAAAATTAAAAATTTGGAAACTTGCAGGCAAAGGTCTTAATGCTCCATGATGAAAAAATATAATGAAACTAAAAATTATAGTTCAACCGAACGTTTCATGATTCGCTCATTTTATTCGTCATCAATTGGTTCTAGAATTTCTCTTTAGACTTCTTTATAAGCCACCGTATAATGAAACTTACTAAACATCTAAAAATTGTGTACTTTGTGTAAGAAAATGATTCTGACGAGATTTAATTTTAAATAACCGAAATATAATCCAGGCAGAATGTCAGCTTTCCACAAGGAACCATTCAAATTAAAATAGGAAAGTTTATGTGCGAATTCATTGCCTTTTTGAGTTTTTAAGCAAACTCAAAAACAATCATACATTTCATGTCGGTGAAAAATTCAGGGTGAGAATTTGAGAACTTCCAATGGCTCTATATGACGAATAAAAAAATATAGACAAAATTCCTCAGGTCTGTTTCTATAAAACACAGGGGAAACCAAATGAATGTACCAGCCAAACTAGTCTGACCAGCCCTATAACGTTTGTTTGACTGACTTTGTACTTTGTCCGAATTTTTTTGGTACATTATTATATTTTTGAACCATAAATGTTGCTGTTAATTCTGCTAGAAATCCGCCTAATTATTAAATTACACACGACTGCACACATATTTTCATCATTATCCATTGCTGTTTTCTCATTGGCTAAGTAAAGACTTAAACTTGCGTTAATGTGGCAAGTGTTTGTTTTCTTGGCTTTCGAATGCGCCAAAACACTTGAGCAAATACGAACAGTTTTTATCACAAAATAAATTGAAAAGGGTCGGCCAATCAGCTGACCTCCTCCATAGAAAACCCGCGTCACAGATGTTGTCTTTTATTTGGAAACAAGTGTTTTGAAGAAAAGAACACTTTTACATTTGGCGACCTTTCACGAAGGTTAAAAAATATCTTGTGCAATTTGAGTCTCACTGAACCAACCACAACATGTCAGTTCTTCAGGACACGGTTGCAAAACTTTGGAACAGTCAAATGAAATTAAAGTAAAACGCAGCCAGAAAAACTGGAAATTTTTACGAAGAATCAACGTGGAAAATTCAGACTAGACTCGCTGCCTACCTTGGGCATGAGTCCAAAACGACATGTTACTTAAAGGTTACAATCTCAGCCGCAATTCCAATGAATCACAGTTGTAGTTTAGTTGAAAACCTGCCAAGATTAAATTTTCCCCATCCCAGACACTATTAATTAAATTAAATAGCCATCGTCTGGGACATTTCATGCTACTTCAAACGTATCCTGAACCTGTGCTACGCCCACAAACAGTTTAACTAATTTCGGTAAGAACGAAAGTTCCGATACGGATTAGAATCAATTTTACTCATTTTTATTTGCTTAACTTCTGAAAAGGACTTTTTGAAATAGCCGAATGGAAAATAAATGTTTTATGAAGCTTCACACTATCAAAACTGGGATATTTTGCAACATTCATTTCTAGTATATGTGGTTTGTGGTAAGCGCGAGTTTAAATCCAAATGTATCTGGGAGAATGGGAGCTTAATTACATTTTCGACATTATTATGCATTTAACAAGACATGATCAAAAATGGCAAGCTTTGGTGTTATCTTCATCAGAAGCCTCTAACTGAGATTCTGCAGCTGCAAATTGTAGACGAATTTTATTTTATAACATTTAAGTGAACACCTGGCAAACATCGCCTCTGAACGAATTTCGGTTTCAAACTCATCACCCCCAATTAAGCCCAAGATAATATTTATCTAAAGTCTTCAGAGACGAGTGGAGGAAGTAGAGAAAAGTGACCAGTGATTTAACGACCCACAGAATGAATTCTGGGAAAGTTATGCCCTTGTAATTACCCGAGACAACTCACGTACACCAGGCCTGTTGCTAAGCCATTCGGTTTAAAAAATCTCTTGAGCACTCCATCTGTAAAGAAATTTCAATGCGATAGAATGCAAAATGTCACGTAAACCTAATGGGAATTCACGATTTGCAGTGTTAATCGAGGTTAATTCATAAAATGCGCTTGCCAACTGGATGTTCCCTTAATTTGAAATTAGCGCAACAGTTGCATAGCAAAAATATTCGCCCATGATGACCTCAAAACTCCTAATTAAAATTGACTATAGCTTTAGCGAAAAATCAATTAAACGCTTATCCGAATGCAATTAAGGGGAATCATTCAGTGACATCTCAACTAGTGCAATTAAGAGGCACATTTTAATTTAACTGCATGATGCATTATTTCAGTATTAACGAGAAAGTGACCATCAATCCAGGCTGTCGCATTTGTTAAGCATAAAGTAATTGCTAAAACAGAAATTCAGTTTAATAGAGATATTGCTGGCAAGCGTTAATGAACACGTGATGGTTTCATACATTTTTTTATATCACTATATCCTTATCTTGACAACCGATTTAAAATGCTAATAACGGGGTAATGTGTATTGAGCTTATTAAAACGTCGTTCGAATTTCCATAGCCTATAATCAATATAATATGCTGGCAAAAGTTAAGCTTTGACTCAACTCTTACATGGACTGATTTTCCATAATAATAAGGATTCTGTATCGAAATTGCCACTTTGCACGTTGTACAAAGCGAATACTTTTTTAGCTATATTTAATTATTTAGATCAATCACCAAGTCATTCGCAATTTTTTTACTAGTCAACGCATTCATATTCAAGTCCTGCTTTACAGAATGGAATTAATTAAAGTTAAGTAATATTCAAGTTCAAGTTCAAGTATTCCTCTACATGCCTGATTCATAAAATTTATTTTCAATGTATTAGTAATGAAATGTTTCAAACAATCGTTTTTAAATGAGCAGTTTCTGATTAACACCGTGAACCTCAAAAATCTTAGAATATTTTTAAACCCTTTGTTATATCCGAATTCCGAATGTACGAATGCTAAAAATACTATTTGTGGACCATCAAGCGAACGAAAAGCATAATTTCGGCGAATACTGATAGGCATTCAGGTGGCCAGCTCAGAAACCTGACTTAGCACCTGTGAATTATTTGCAAAGGCGTAGTTTATAGATTGAACTAATTTGGACATTTTCCAATTTCCGCGACTGGAACTGAACACTTAATTTTACTCCCAAGAAGATCTCCAAAAGGGGGATAAAGCGCCAAGATTTTTTATCTAAAATTACAGTGAATGTTAATCATCCGCTATTTTTGCGAACAAATTGGACCCGGAAATTTGAGTGCCTCGTTACAGCAGATAGAGAGGTCGCCAATAATTATATAAATGCTCTATCTATCCATCTGGTAATTTAGCCACGTGCCGTTTAAACCAAACTGCATTAAATATCCCCAATTTACCATGGACGAAGAGCGTGCACGTAATTACAGGAAAATGTTGTTAAATTCCCAAAATAGAAAGCCAATATTTCAAAATATAAATTTAAAAAACACTTGTGATTGATACTTGAATCCATAACTTTATTTAATTAAGCTTCACATAGAAGCACATCGAAAATAAAATCTGATCTCACTAATTAATTTTTTTGCTGTGGCATTTAGCTTGGCAAAATTAGAAATTTGACTTTCACGCAGATTCACCCCTTAAAACAGTTTTGGAAAGTGTGGCTATCAACCAAACAAAACATGAGCAGATAAGAATTTATATTAGGTTCTTGTGTTAACTCATTTAATAAATAATTTTTTTTTTCAAACCTTTTTCAAACAGTTTGGCAATTAAATGTGAATTCATTTTCGTACAGTTCGAGGCTGTGAAACTTCAACTAAACCGCCACTTGGATTAACAAGAAATGTCCTTGCAATTGATTGCGGTAATAATTGTCTAATATTAATAATATTTTGAATATTGATAAAATTACCTCAAAAGCAGTAAGGCCTTAAAATTTTTTTGAATAAAGCGAAGACTAATGACATAAATTTCACATTTACATTTAAAAATATTTGCTTCAAATTGCCGTTTTAATTGAAGAAAAACACAAATAAATTTGAGCTCATTAACCATTCAAATAATTTTAAAACTTTCTTATTCGTTAATGGTCTACACTGACACCCGTCGTATAATTTGAGTGAGCGATTTGTTGCTCTGTCTATATAAACTTGCAAACAATCGACAGAACTTCAATTAAATAAGCATAAACAAATTAAATAAAACTAAGCAAAAAACATATTAAATAAATTGAATAAACGTTTGTTTTGTCGCGTGTTGTATCACCGTCAAACAACATCGCCTTGTATTTGATTTTGCTTTTGCCACTTTCTCTATTTTTGTATGTTAATGACTTAATGAATCAATTTATATTGTCATCACATAACGACTTTAATTAGATACTATTAGTGACACATTTGTTAACTATGTTTTATCAATTAATGTTAAAGGATATTAGTTTTACTATCCTTTAGCTACTTTTATATTTTATTTTATTCCTACGCTGGTTTCTCATTCCTTTTGTTTAATTTTAATGACTAAATAATAGCGAATGAAGTCTTTTCTTGACGACTGAGATGTTTAAGACTGAAACCACTCTGTCTTCCCTTTTACAGCCCTAAAGACGGTTTGAATATAGCCGAAACGTTGCCCCAAGTAAAATAGGTACTGTCTTATTTTCTACCACTATCTTGACCGATAACCCCAAGAATCTTAAAGCATCTTAGCAGTTATCAACACATATTAAAAAAAAATAAATTTTCAAAATCCCTAATTGAATAAAACTGTACTTTCAAGCGGGAATAAAGCGAAGTTTGAAAACGATTAGAAACGTTTGAACCGATTTTATGGCTTAAATAGATTTACTGGAAAAAGTCGGTAAGGACTAAATCTGGTAGACGAGGCGGCCGGTGGGAAAATTCCGTATTGCCGACAGTAGTTTCTTCTCTGGAGGTGTCGGCAGGAATGCCTTTAAAACCGGCTGATACCATTGGTGGATTTCGTACCGAATTAGATGACGCAATACGATCGACAATTTTCATTCATGCCGTTTAAAGAGCGGACCAGGCCGCTCGAGGACTCACTTTGCTAGTGACTACCGGCCTGGGCAAATCACTATCACTATCCCGGTGACCATTCCCGATTTTCATCCGTTTCACTGTCGACTAAATGTTTTTTCATTTTAATCATTCGTGTTCTTCGTTTATTGGTTCTTCATTCGCGCTCAAGTTCAAAACGGTTAATTGTTTCAACTGGAGTGTCACGTGACAAAAGTTTTGTTTTGACTTTTTTTTATTAATTTTCTTCAATTTCAACACGTTTCTCTATCGAGAAAAAATCTACTTGAGAACAACTGAATTTGTGTGCAGAAAATGGTAAGTAATAATTAGTTTCTCAATCAGTTTCTTTTACTTATAAGAAAAGAAAAGTGGTCTTAAAAGGACTTTTTCCAAAAGTACTCCTTAAGCTCCCTTTACATCCTTCCATAAAAAAAAACATTTTTCTAGAGCAACACGCTCATTCATTCATTTGCTCGCTGACATTTTTACACATCTTTTTTTCGGTTTTTCAACTTTGGTAATCATTTAACGGTGTTTCCCTTTTACCCGACATTAAAAAATACACTAAAACATTTTTTGGCAAAGGTTTATCAAAATCGGGCAAAAGAACACTTTTTACTTTCCGGTTCCAATTATAACTCAGTTATATCCAATATCAGATTGAATCATTTTCAAACGACCCCATTCACAGTTAAAACCGGAAAAGAATCAACAAAGGTGTTTCAGAGTGCCCAAAACCTTTTCCTTAACTGACTTAACGGACTTAAAGAGCACAATTTATTTTTTCCAATTCCAATGTGTTGCGTAATCTTGAGCCAAGCCAAAAGGAGTGCCCCAAAATTGCCCAACTAAAAAAGAATTTTTAAGAAAAGTTTTTTAAATTTGCATTAGAATAACTAGACTTTTCCAAGACAACGTCTGATTATCCATCAATTGGAAAAAGTGAACGAATAAATATGTGTCACTTTTAAACCGAACTTTAAATTGCCAAACCAGAAATTATTTGAATAACGGTTCATTTTCGATCATCTCAAACAAAATGAACATTTCGCAAATTTATGCCAGGAAATCGTATTAAAATCGTTTTTGGGGTATTAATTATCAACTAATTAACATATATGGTGCTTTTTCGATCAATACTTCTAAGAAAATTACAAATTAATATTATTTCAAAACCATGACTATAAAATCAGATCGTCAACTTATGTTAAATTATTTGAAATTCATTTTCATATACCCATTTGTGAATGATTTATGTTCATATTATTTCAAACTGAAAACTGTCGCGTAAGTTCCAAAGCATTTTCAGCAGCAATCTTTGCTTGAGCAAAAGTTGGCCCGTTGAGCAAAAGTTGGCTCTGCATATCTCGTAAAAAAAATACCCTAAAACTGTATTAGAATTTCTTGACAATACAGCAAAAATTGAATTTTTGACCGCAAAAGAATTACTAGTAAATGCGGATGTTGAGCGAAGATTCTTCAATTCATGCAAATTACTGTCGGACTTACAACAGCAATCATGAAAAGCCGTGCAACAATGTATGAAAGCGTTTAATGGGATCTTCCAGTTGAAAATGGTCGTTTTTCATTCGAGTCGTGAATTATAATACGAAAATAATTAAGATAACTGGGAGATTATCGGATCAACCAAAGCAGGTAGAAAGTGGACTGAATACACTGAAAAAAGCCCAATTTAGTAGAGATTTTGTATAAGGATTTAATCCGGACAACCACTCACATGGTTAAATCAGAACAAGTATTCTATTTCTGTGAGGAACAATAGCGTCGGTACGATCCAGATTAAACCACGCTGGAGTTTCCAAGGCGGATCAAAGGTTTAAATTAGTCATGGATCGAAATAGTTGGTCCAACTTGCGCGGACCTGTTGTGCAAGTATTTATCAAGCAGACACTTTAAATTGCGTGAAAGATAGAATTAGAAGAAAGATAAGATTAACATTGAGAACGCATCACGAGACCAAGTTATTTTTGCACCGAATGGCGTGATGTTGTTGAAAAATGTATCTAAAAGAGCTTAGAAATTCCAGTGCCAAATTCGAATGCATCTTCATCATGATCGAGCAGAACTCCAACCGCAAAATGTTAATACCTTTTCACGCTTCAATCATCCTTTAATTGCGCATCCGCTTCTTCGGACGCAACAAAGAATCGCCTTTCAGATGCAACAAAGTAGTTATCTGCATATCTCGCTTGTACATTTAAACCAGCTGTATATTTAAATCAAAAAATGCGAAAGTGCGCCCGCTCGAACGCTTTGCAGACCGCAACGTTGAATCAACAGAACCATTTTTTCTCCGCTTTTATCAGCCATCCAAACGGAAAGGAAATCAGAAAAATCAGGTGAAAACCGCAATTGTTTTACCAGGTATTTAAATTGGCTGAAATATTTCAGTATCATCCTGGATCGTGATGAGCAATTTATTAGGCAGGTCACCTTCATGGCAATTGGCGACGATCGCGCTTTGATGGTACCACTCAGTCTGGCGCGTTCTTTACCTTCACGCTCGCATTTTCCATGTGCGTTCATATGAAAGAAAATCGTAAAAAATTATAATTATTCTAAAAGTTCCAGTGCTAATTTTCAGTTAAAAAAATGAGTTACTCTAACAATACACGTTTGCGAACAGAACGTTAAGAACCACAGTTGTTGTTATTTAAATTTAACATAACATTTCTATGTAAACTCATACAAAGCTAACGTTGGTTTAAGACCGAAACAGGAAATTTTCCTCACATATGTGGAAAATTAATAAGAGTAGAGTTTCAAACACTTAATTTATCAAGAAAGCCAATGGCCTTTTTGTTTTACTCTCTTTACTTTTTCTACCTTTTTACTTTATTTCCCCTATACATTGTCTATTTATTTATTCAATGTTAATTTAAAGTCCACTTTTTTAGACACTTATTTCGAATTCCTTATTATTTATTTTTTAAACCGTTTCGGTGTTTTCCTTTTTCTGTGTGTCTACATTTCGTCAGTGCCATTTTTGAGTCCGAGTCATATATTTACTATTTGCAATTTGACAAAAAACACTTAAACAAATTACTTGTTTGGTGCAACTCAGTCTGACGCGTTCTTTACCTTTACGCTCGCATTTTCCATGTGCGTTCATATGAAAGGAAATCGTAAAAAATTATAATTATTCTAAAAGTTCCAGTGCTAATTTTCAGTTAAAAAAAATGAGTTACTCTAACAATACACGTTTGCGAACAGAACGTTGAGAACCACAGTTGTTATTTAAATTTAACATAACATTTCTATGTAAACTCATACAAAGCTAACGTTGGTTTGACACCGAAACAGGAAATTTTCCTCACATATGTGGAAAATTAATAAGAGTAGAGTTTCAAACACTTAATTTATCAAGAGMGCCAATKGCMTTTTTTGTTTTMCTYTYTTTACTTTTTCTACCTTTTTACTTTCTTTCCCCTATACATTGTCTATTTATTTATTCAATGTTAATTTAAAGTCCACTTTTTTAGTCACTGATTTCGAATTCCTTATTATTTATTTTTTAAACCGTTTCGGTGTTTTTGTTTTTCTGTGTGTCTACATTTCGTCAGTGCCATTTTTGGGTCCGAGTCATATATTTGCTATTTGCAATTTGACAAGAAATATTTAAACAAATTGTTTGGTGCGAAATTTAGGAAATTTAACAGATCTTCACATTATCGTTCTTTTGAAGCATTTAAAAAATTTGTCATTTCTATTTAACGATTAATAATTACAAACAAAGTGTCCGCAAGGGTATTCGACATATTTGGTAGAAATGTTTTTTTTTTTAAGAACAATTTCGTTTATTTCTCCGGACTTCTTTCTCGCCGGTTCACAGACGGTATAAGTTTGGTTCAAAGTCCTCACATATTTTCCATCGATATTTGAAGAAATTTTGAATATTCTAAGACATCTGGCCACAAAACCCCTTAACTTATTCTAAGTTCCCATCTGATTAGAACGGCTGAAACGGAACCTATCGGTAATTGAAAAACCCAATAAATCTCCATCGAGTACCCGGGCACAATCGAGAAAATGCATAATTGAAGGCTGCACCATGGTTCTAATCGACTTAATGAGAAAAACCAATACTGTACCGTGCACAAACCCAATTAGAGTGGCTATTAAAGAGCCATTGGTCCCCGTCATTGGTACCACACGCTCTCTGGCTGTTGCCATGGGCAACAGGCCTCCACGACCGCTGCATTTGGTACTATGCGACCGTCAATTGTTTCTAGGTTACCCATCGGTATCTAATTTTTTTTTCACTTTTCCAGACCGTGTATTTAAGTTATCTTTAATCTCCGAAGATGCGCAGTTTTATTCTACTACAAAAATCCAAGAAGCAACCGGACATTGTCCGTCCATGAACTTACTTGACTTTACCAATGCTCCAAATTATATGTAATTCTAAGAAATCCATATATGATTTGCATTTTTATTAAATAAGCCAGCTTACGATTTTTATTGCCTGTTATTAATCGGCCATTAGCTTTTGTCAGACGCGATTAATGAAGACTTAAATTATTGAATTTTTAATTACCTAGTAACATATAGTTTTTTGGTCTAGTTGCGCATTCATTTCCTACATTATTTGCGAATTGATGGAGCTAAATATTAAGCAATCAAACCTGCTGAGTGAGTCTGACTGTTGACTTTAAACGGTTTAATAATTAGACAAATATACCTGTATAAGCAAAGTCTACAATGATACGTACTTAACCATACCATGACCTAGGTGCGAAAATCAGCAGGGTTAATCTTCCAACAATCTACACGGTGTCTCATGATTAATAAATACTCGACAAAATAATAGTATCGTCTGAAAGTACTTTGTTCGATAAATATCCATATCCTCCACGCTCTGACTTAGTTGAAAACTCAGCTAACTTTAATAATTATTATCAATAACGAATGATGAATTGCATAAGATTTAATCTCTCGGTGATTGAAACGCAAGTAATCGATAAGTGCATAAAAAAGTAAATCAGTTTAACTAACATACGTAAGACCTTATCAGCGGCCTTCATATTGAACAATTAGTGATCATTGCGGTATCTTACCAAAATATGCGATAAACTTATTCGTGGTTTGACCCTAATAACGATTGACGTCAAGGCGCAGTCATCCAACTCCAATACTATCTTAAATAATTATTTATCTAATAATAAGTACTCAAACACACAATCGCTTTAGACTGATAAAATTCACGCATCACGTACATATGTTTCAATCGAACGTTTTACCTAACTAAGACGTTAAAACGTTCACATTAAAAATCGCTTTTAATCATCACTGTAATCAACAGCAATTTCCGTCATTATTCACCAACTAGTGTGGCATCTATTGTTTTACTAACTTGCTTGTATCACTGACGTCAATGATTCGTTATCCCGGCCATCGACATTTTGTCTCTTCAAAACAAAAACATCGCACCACAAAAATAACAAATAGTAAAGCCGTAGTAAATTTTCGGAACGCTTGAAAGAAATAGGAACAATTGGAAATTTCCGGTCTTGTCAGTAATTTAACTAGGTTTACTAGGTTTAACTAGGATTGTGTGGTGTTGTGTTAAAATCTTCTTAAAACCGTCTTCAAGCGGCTGTATTAAAAAAAACTGTTTTTAAACAATCATTAATTCCACCAGATGATTAACCAAAACTTTACTTTGCTTTCCTTTTACTCTTCCGTTTCCGAGTTGCGAGTTTTTCGTTGTTTTGTTTTGTCTCATACTGTAACTTTTACTGTATTATGATAATTTATTAATTAACTAAGGCCACAGTATTTCACTGTTTGCCTTAAACAAAATAAACTGTTTTCAGTTCTACTGTAATTAATCGATAGTTAACAAAATCACTGACTTAAAATGTTTATCTCCTTTACTTTTTTGAATAATTTTCTTTTACTTTATTGATTCCAGAAAAACTTTGATTTATGTCATTCAGTATTGCCTTATATTTATATGTTTTCTTCTTGCTTATAATAATATAAATATATAAGTCAAATAAAAAAATAGAAGCACAAATAGCGTCTGAAAAGCTCATAATCTACTGACAAAAACAGAAAAGAGCTTGCTTTGAAAAGCTTAAATAAATATAAATATAACTGAAGTAAATAGACAAGACAGAAAAACACTGAAGAACGACAATATGCATTCAACGTTTCTCTACTTTGGATAAATTCGATTCGATTTGATGGAATAAAATTAAAAGTTCGTTTTCGGTCGAAAAAGGGAGTTTTGTAATAATGTGAAATTATTTTAAGGGTCTTTAGAAGTTACTTTTTTAAGAAGCAAGCTCTATGCAAATAAGCGATTTTCCACAAACTGAGCAAAATTGCTAAAATACTTTGTTATGATCATGATAAGACGCTTTTGTTTCTGATGGCAACCAAGAATATTATTTTAGGCAAAACGAAAAATTACTGAAGAAAGACAAAGAGCTTGTTTAGAATATTGTTGTTTAAGTCAACTGTTATGATGTGATTTGAGCTTGCTTTGCGGAAACAAACAATCTTCAAATGTTGAGCATAAACCAGACCAAATTGGTCAAAATATCTCACCAGCATTCATAAAGAACTAATTTGTAGTTAAAACAAAGCAAAAAAGTGTCAACACTTATTAGACGCCGCTGTTTTTTTTCTGTCATTACTGTTAAAAATACTGGAAAAAATACAAAAGTAAAGAACGAATTTTTTTAGAAGAAATGCGGTGTTAATGGGCTTAATTCCTGCAAAGTAATTGAAAAATATTAAACAAATAGGTAAGACGAAAAATCACTAAAGAAAGACAACATGCATAAGTTTTTCCCACTTTAGTAAATATACTTCGATTCGATTCGATGGGACAAAATAAGCAAACTTTCCTTTTCGTCGACGCAACATTTTTATTATACTGAGTGTTTTATAATGAGCGAGATTATTTTAAAGGCGTGTTTAGAAAAATATTGTTTGTCTTTTTTAGGTCTTTCTTGGAAACTGTTATGATTTGGGCTTCCTTTATTGCAAGAGTGAAGAACATTTTTAAGCGAAATTTTAAGGGGTTTGATTACTGCTGGAATTTGCTATCGTTAACAGAACTTCTGGATTATTGAAAACCAGGAAAAGATATATTTAAACGATTTAAAAAAATTAAAGCAAAATAATGTTTTGGGTAGTTTTCAAGATCGAGCCCAAATTACAAGTTTTATTCGAAAGACTCCCTCCAAAAAATTGCTCATACAAAATAGATGAAAAAGCATGATTAGAAGCTCAAAAATTCCACTGACTAAACTAAAAGCGCCTAAGGCAAACCTCAATAGAAATAAGTAAAAACCTTCTAAAACTCCAAACTAAGTAAACTCACGCGATCACTAATGCTTCCAAAGTATGACCAAAAGTAACCATTGTTTAAACGTTTAGATAAAAATAAAAATAAATTCGATATATAAAAGAATATATAATCCAGAAAATCAGACAGAAAATAAAAATAAGGAATTTTGAGGGCTATAAAATTTGCCGTTTCCTAAAACAGTTGCTTGGCGAAAAGATCAAATGAATGAATGCTAAAGTCCCAAAAATTACCTGCGTAGATATATATTTATATTTAACTAGTTTCGTTTTCAACTTCGAAGAATCGTCACCTCCAACGCGTTTACAACACGCTGTAAACCCACTCAATGGAAATAAGTCGTAGTATTCTGGATAAATTTGCCGCCTTACTACTACATGCTGCCTAGTTGATAAAATGCCAGAGATAAGCGGAAGTTAATAACATTTATGAATGAAAATCACGCCATCGTCGTTTGCCTCTGACATGGTTCACTGGCACGAGGAAACAACATTTTTTTCCGATTCATGGGATTTTTACAATACGTGAAACCATAAATAAAATCCTTGAAAATTAATCACTTCTAAATCAACATAAGCTCCAAAAGAATTAGGTTTATTAAGATTGTTAACACTTCACATGCTTCACTAATCTTGATGTGATTTGAATTAACTAATGCGCCATTAGCATTATCTCCTCTTTAATTGCTCCATGTATCACTGTGATTTCCAGCATCTTGGCAGCCTGATTAAGCACAATCAATCCCCGGCTAATCGCCCTGTTCATTTTATTAATAATGTAAGTACGATAATCGGCATTTATCGGGCGATTCATTCATTCTGTCGTACCCTAAGGTTATCGGAAGGAGTAAAAAAATATCGGAATTAACAAGAGGATGTTTGAAATTGACTACTAAATCTGTATGAATTGATTATAAAATGTTTTTTTTGTTTGTTTCAGGTGAAATTATCAGTATTACTTACAACGCTCTGCCTCCAACTTGCTTACAGCAGGCGATTAATTGATGATATTGACAACGATGTCAACGTACTACAAAATGGTAAGATTATAAGTACCAAATAAGTAATTAATTAATTTTTTGAATATGCCATCTTCTGTTTGGCCAACCAAGTTCTCAATTTTTAAAGCTTAACATCAGCACTTGCCGTATTTTTTAAGTAGCCAACAACTTACTTTTATTCTCTTTTGTGCTCAAATACTAGATTTCATAATTTTGTCCTCCCATTTTTGACTAATATTGCATATTATCTTATTCTTTCACTTGCCGTTCCTCACAGTTCTCCAATTTTTCCTCAAGGCCATCCAATCTGGCATTTGTGTGGGAATGTTTTCGTTATGCTTTATATTGTTACTTATAGCGACTTTCTTAATTTTTTTTTTAATTTCTTAATTAAATAGAAAAAATTATCTTTGTTCTTAAATGGTCTTGTATTTTTTTAATACACGTTTCTTTCATTGTTTGCACGGTACTTTGGGTACTTGTAATTGTTAATCTCTCGATTTCCATTTTTCTATAATCTTTAACAAGTAATAGTATTCCTTTATTCATTGATAACTTTATGCTATAACTTCATTGGGTTTTGAAATACTTCATTTTGCCTTATAAGTTGTCTTCTCCAACAGGATACTTTCCTTCCTTTACCAGTCGAATTAGAACCCCAAGCCCTTTCGCCTACACTTTATGGCCATTTTTCCCAATATTTCGTTGGTTATTTAACAATAATCAATTTATAAATTTGACTTCTTTCTGAATATCTTTCGTTTCCTTTTCAATTGTCGCGTTATCCGACTTTGCTTCTCTTTAGACTATTACCCGTTCTTTAAGAAATACAGTTGAGCTTCGTCTTCATTCTTCGATAATCTGATTTTTTCGTCTTTAAAAATTCATCTAACTTTTGGCGCCTCAAGCGAAAAAAATTGGCTCCGTTTCTAGCTGGTTGCTCATCAGCCAGTCCGGGGTCACCAATGTTTAGTCTCTTTCTCAGTATAAATTGGATTATTTTCCTTCGTTCGTTTTTTAATTAACAAATTATATTCAACAATAAATAACTGTTAAATAAAGCAACAAAGTAGTGTTGCAAGTAACACATGTTGAAGTACTGCGCATTAAGGAAATTGCATCCACAGATTGGGTTTTAAATGACTAAGAGATAAGCGGCTCTTTCCAGCTAATTGAAATCAATGCTCCCAAAGGTTCCAAATATAATGATCTTGAGAGTGAAATTTCCTCTTAAGTATTATCAGGCTGTTTGAACAGCACAATCCCTCTCCAAAAAAAAATGTACTTAGCATTGGTTTGGATAAGATAACAATTTTTTGCGCGATATCGCAAGATAACTCTTCGCAAAAGTCTTTCATTATCTCGAGTAGTCGAGTAGCGTGGATGGCCGATTTCACCATGTATCGGCCATGGCTAGTGGCGTTAATAATAATTCTGGCAAATTTGGCAATTGTGCTCTTATGGATGTCCATCTTTGCAGGAAACTTAGGGACTTACGAGTACAAATCCTCGGACTACGTTAAGATAACTCAACCACCCCTACCAGTCGTTCAAAAGGAAGTGGGTGCACATGTGGAATTACATTGCGAAGCTATGGGCTCTCCACCACCTACCATCCAATGGTACAAGGGACCCATGAGAGTCACCGAGGTAAGTTTTATCTAATTAGTTTAGAAAAATTAACAGTTAATTAATAAATAACAAAGAAACTCAACATTTGAAGATGTTTTCCTTGAATTGGTTCCATCTACTTGACTTCACGTGTAGATAAAATTGAAGCTTTTTATCCGTATTGCTGTGAGCGCATTACACTTAGAACAACATCAAATTAGTACTTAACTCTCCTAAGTTTGAAGCAAATTTATACCATCTCTTCACTCGAACTGAACTGAACTGAAGTACTATTAACTCGAACAGTTTGAACAACCACTCAACGCTAATTCAAGCGTCTTTCTTGACACTGAATCCGCATCTCAAGGTACCTTGAGAGTTATAATACCCTCACAGGGAGAGGTGAACTTATGAAGAGTCAGATACATAATCCTAAGTTTGGTCTTCCGGTGTTATACAGTTTGGTTTGGATATAAAGGCAAATAAATTCCAGACTATCGTTATAAGGAAATCACGTAAAACGGATTAAATTTGCAAAAAAAATACGAAAACCGGTGTTCCATATTCTCGTTTAGTTGATAGATAATATTGGTGCCGCCTTTTGGCCTTAGTCTCTACATACAAAATTGTCTACATACAAAAAAATATATTAAAAGTTCGTTTTCTGTCAACTCAATTTTCTTCCTATACAGAGTGTTTTGTAGTGAAGTGAAATTATTTCAAGGGCGTTTAGATGGTAATTTTTAGAGGGTCTTTCTAATCCACTTTTAATCTGGAGTTTCTCTCTGTAAATACGCGATTTCTACAAACTGAGAAAAAGTGTTAACATACTTTATATTAAACCACCGTGAAAAACACATATCAGAAGCAGAAGCTGAAAGAAGAATATTATTTTTTCCAAGAATCCGATACGAGTGATAAACTTTTTTTTATCTTAAACGAATATGGTTTTAAAGGGGCAATTTTTTTGCAAATGCAACTTTTCCCTACTTTGGTTAAAAATAATTTAATTCAATACGATCGGAAAAAATCATTAAACTTTCCTTTTCTGCAATATCAATTTTACAACATTTATTTTGAAAGAAGCTAAATTGCACGAAAATTTAAGTTACCAAAGTGGTTTGAAATAAAACCAAAACGATGCAAATTTGAAACTAAACAAAAATGTAAAGTTTTTAAATAATTTAACATGGACAGAATTCTCGCTTGACAAGTTTTGGCTTAAAAGACTTTTACTCCTGAATGCCCAGTTGTTTCATTTTGATAAAAACACACCTTACGATAAAAAGGAGGATTTATGAACAGCATAAATGCATTGTTGTTATGGGCAAAAAATCTAATAGAGATATTAACTTGTGCATCTCCCAACTAACTATTTGGTCCATCAGATTTGAAATTCAACAGAGACAAAATAAAACCTTTGATTTGTAAGGAGAGAAGAATAATCACTCTAAACCAGTTAGTTGCGTGTTATTATACAGGGCGATTGAAAATAAGTAGGTAGTTGAAGAGCACGGAAAAAATAATTAATTAATAATGCAAGAAACAGCAAACTTTATTGTACAAAAAAGAGTGCAACATAGTAAAATTACATTTTGCTCAGAAAAAAGTCGATTTAACGGAAGATCAAAAGCTGGCAATAAAAATAATGATGATAAATTCTTCAAACTACAAAAGAAACAATTGAAGTACACGAACAAAAAACCACAACAAAAATTCCATGGTGTTCTTGAATGTCTTGAACACAAAGTGTCTTTTGAGCCTAAACAAGCTGGACTAAAGCCACTTCAACAAAAAATCCAATGCCGGATTAACAAACAAACAATTCAGTTTGTGATTTTTTTAAATTTTCAATTTGTCCTCTTTCAGAACGAGAGCTTTGAAGACAACAACGAAATCACTGATCACACCCCAGGCATAGCAAAAGTTGCATCTCGCCTCGTGATCAACTATGTCTTGCCTCGGCATCAGGGCAACTATTTCTGCGTAGCTGCTGCCGGTTCTGAAGTCGTACGCAAAATGACTGAACTGGTGGTACCGAACGCGATTGGACGCGAAATGAATTTCACTCAGCTGGTTTTCCGAAAAATCGTTGGCGCTCATCACCATCCCAGAGTTACCTTCTGGGCACCCGCCTACATGGATGTTATGCGTACGTAGTTTACCACCCTAAAGTTTCATTTGAAAAATTAGCATTGTTTGTTCATTTTCAGGGTCTGATGTGATTCTCCCTTGCAAGTCTGTAGGCAACCCCAAGCCCGTTTTGACATGGTTCCGCCCCAATGGCAAAGAAGTAACCAACGATGATAAATTCGAAGTGATGCAAGATGGCGAGCTGAGCATCCGATCAATATCATGGGATGATATGGGGGTGTATACATGCATCGTGATGAATTCTGTAGGCAAAGACTCCGTCGAAACCTTCCTATACCCAATGCAGGTAGATGTTCAGATAGTGGACATGGTATGGAAGACTAACCAGATTTAATTTGTTGCAGGAATCGAAATAACGCCAACAGCGTCAATTTCCCAAAAAACTCTAGTCACTCCATTCCAAGAGAATCTTGGCAACTCTTACTATTAATGTAAAGTAGTATTTTAAAATTCATATAGGTATTAATAGGTTATTAAATTATGTACTTATTTATAATAATTTAAATTAATTTACCACTAATAAATAATAAGAGTAAATATACATGTAATTTAAACTTCCTTGCTGTTTCATTTATATTCCCAACATTTCACTCAAACTATCGTCTTGAACTAAAAAACGCCATTTCTTTGCAACTCAGTCTTCTTCACAAAAAAACTCGTCAAATATTGGTAAATTGAATTAATTTCATTTTCAGCAATATCAGTGCATAATTAGTTAATGTCCTAATGTTAATTCAATCGTTGTCCAATGTATTGTCCTGTATTAGTGTGTTAAGTTTTCGCTTTGGGGAATCTAGAGATTTCAAAACATTCCAATATTTAAAGTCTAGTGACTTTCTTTAATTGTAATATAGCTGTATTCAAACAGAGAATATCAGAACATAAAAAATATTCAATAAAGACCGCATTAGTTGAACATCAAAAATTAAATAACCATAAGTTTGACTTTAATTATGTTACAACTCTAGACCATCAACCACAGTTATCAAAAAGTCTATTAAGCGAACCAACTTTCACCAAAATTAATAACTCTGTGACTTTTAGAAGAGACACTGAAAATTTAAACGAAGCCTACAACATTTAACTAAAAACTAAAAAATAATTACATGACATACTAATAACAGAAAAATCAGTCAGTTAATTTCCTTATCGATGGTTCACTTTCTAAAAATGCGATTCAGTTCTCTCTGGAATGATGTAAAAATTAGCGTTCTTCCTCATTTTGCTTTGCAAAATCTGATATCAGTTTTACTTGTCGATACTGTGAATCAAATAATACCTTATAAGAAAGTGTTGATCAATGTGCATCATCATTTTACTGATTGAGATCATTTTTCTGATGCTACTGCAAAAGCCCCGCACAGCAAGAACTTGATGATGATGAGGAGAAATCTATTCTTAACATAATCGAAAATAGTCCTATTATCCAAGCGCCCGAAGAATATCTAATCGTGTTCACATTAGTCGAATGAATGAGTGCAGAACCTTTCCCAATTTTGGTTTCACCCATTTCACAATCTGTTTAAAATTTCCAACTGTATAAGCTCGACAGCAGGCTCATAGAGCGACAGTTTTCTGGGTCAAAACTACTTGAATTTCCTCACTCACGTTGTTACGACTGAGTCGACTTCTCAATTCTCTATCCGACGATGCCAAAATGAATTCTGTGGCTCAAATGGTTCTTGAGAAACTTCGAATAAAGGCCATTTAGTTATCTCTGGAATGATGTAAAAACGAGCGTTCTTGCTCATTTT